TCATGTAGAGAGACCACGTCAATCCAATCAGCCCACTCAGACAGAGAACAGCTAATCCCACTAATACACCACCAGAGGTAGGTGATGTGGGTGGAGGGCAGCAGGGGGGAGGGGAAGGCAGGGGTCAATCTGTTCATGGAAACCAGGGTCTCACTTCTTTTCCTGGGATCAGACCATGTGCACAACATGCTGCTGGTACTGCTGAGTCAAACTCATGTTTCGTCTGTGAGCTCTGCATTACAGGAGATGACAACACCGGGCTATTTTGATGCACTTTTAATTTCGCCTTTGAAAAGTGCAACCTCGCCGGCAAATTTCCCTAAAAGACGGCACCATTTTCCAGTCAAACGTGGGTATTTATAGAACGTATTCACCAGCACAGTGGAATGCTGCTGAGACCTCCAGCAGGCTGCCTGTGACAGACAGAGAAAAGAAGGCTGATACAATAACAGACAGTGTAATCTTTTTTTTTCCTCCCCTCGGTAAAATATTACAATATCAGAAGCCTGTTCACTCATCAGGCCAAAGTATACTGTAATGACATCAATGGTTGTCATGACAACGGGAGGAGGGTGGATGACAACATCCTACTGCGTCTTTTAGAGCAGGAGATCACAGCACTGTTCAGGATTAGAGATGCACCAAAAGAGAGAGAGAGACAAATACTCTCTCAAATGCAGAGGAGAAACTAAACTTCTGTAACAAGCGATGCATTTTCTTTTCTTCATAACGTAATTCATCTAAAAAATAAATAAATGTATTAATAAAAACCTCTAAAAGCCCACTGCAGGCTTTGTAGTAAGTGAGTTTGAGGTAAATGCTATAGCTCTGCAGGGCATCCGCCGAAGATTTTCTTCTATAAAATGATCTCCTGTTCGAAGGAAGGTCATGCAGCGCTCCCATTTCCTCCTCCACTGAATGCACACTGATCACATGCTAGCCAGCAGATGGACAGAGTCAGAAAATCCCAGCACACATGACCCAGTAGTGCCTGGAAAAATCAGGTCCTGCAGGGGCTCTGAGCTGGATGTTACAGCCGAGCCAAGTGTGAACCACACACTTGCTTGAGCGTTCTTCGTGTGTGCTTGGATATTATTTAAGGGCGGGGTGTGGGGGGGAGGAAAAAAAAGTTTGTACAGCTTATAAACCCCATGATAAAAGACAACAGAATAGAAGAGGAGGAGGAGGGAGCGCTGAGATGACAAGGTGACTTGAGGAGGGAAGAAAAAAAAGAAAAATGAGTGGGCCAACGTTCCTCTTCTCCCAACTGATATTTGTCATTTGTCACCCTGAGAGCGTCTGACCTCACTCGTGTGTGTGTGTGTGTGCGTGCGTGCGTGCGTGCGTGCGTGCGCGTGCCGTGCTGTGTGGGGGCTTTGCTTGACTCCTTTCATTATAAATGACATGGTCCTGGGAGGCAGCTGCATTGACGTCAGGGCTCTCAGCTCTGTCAGGGGTTCTAGCTGCTGAAAATCCCCCCGAATAACAGGATCTAAATAGATAGGAATAGGTTGCTGCTGTTTCATTACTGCCTCATGAACTCAAGTGGATTTAGAGGGCGGATTAGCCCTTGTCCTCAAGTAATCGTCTTTTAATGAAGATTTTTGGCTGTAATGGGGGAAAAAAATGTGCTTCAAAGCTTCTAGATCACCAGATATTTTAGAAAGAAAGAAAACAACCCTTCATTATTTCATATGTGTCAAGCCATGTCTGAGGTATGGTTTGGCTCTTGTTATCAGTCTCACAGGTTCCATCTACCATCAAGCCTCCTTCTCCTCCTACTACTTCACACCATTTCTTGAAAAGCACATCCTGCCTTTAAGCTGCTATATTCTCAATGGCTCTCGAGTGGGTCCTGCTGTAGCAGAATGTGCTGACACTCAGCAGCCACACCAGGCTGTGCATTACAGTATGTGTGCATAATGTGCTCCGGAAATTGGGGCTGGGTGGAGGATAGGGAGAGCACACAGCTCCAAGGAGGGCTGATGGAAGATTTGAGGCGATTAAAAAAAAAAAAAAAGTAAGGTTGGGATTCTCATAAAGATCCCTGCCATGTGATTCATTGCCTCAAAGCTCTCTGCTGACTCCTCATTTGGAATGAACAGAAACGTTGGGGCATCTCGGATGTGCTGCACATAGCATATGCATAACAAGTAAGTGGCATGTTATTCATACGCTTGCTTACAGCGCATGTCCACTTCCAAACCGAGCCCTTATTTTGCAGTCTCCCTCTCCACAGTAGTCGAGATGAGGGCAGGTGTCAGCTGCAGACCCTGCCCCTGCTCTGCGTGGTTCCCCGTGGCCAAAACAGCCCGCAGGACCATCGCTTTCATCTCTGAACAGCTGCCTACCAGGTCAGAACTGAGCAAATATGAGACCAGGAGCTAGTGAAATTAATGCCACATTTTCCTACAGACGTCGACAGGCTGAGAAGCACTCCTTCCAAATCGAACAAAGAGCATTTAAATCACAAGGACAAAATTGGATCTTTCTGCTTGTGACCAACTTTCCAAGTTGTTGATTAGACTTAAATATACAGATACATAAATCCACAATCTTCTTGTAGTGACAAAGAGACAGTGTGTTAGAATGCCTGTGTTCGTCATAAATGCTGGAGGGGGGGGAATTAGACGTTGTCCTTTAACCAGAAATATGTGATCATGAACCCCGCTTTGGGGACAGAACTGTGATCAGACTCAACTTCACTGCAAGAAAACAGGTTCAATCATTAAGCCAAAGTGACACAAGTGATTTTAACGTCATGTTAAATCAGAATGGGCAAGTCCCAGCCTTGAGCCACTGCTTTTTCTTTCTTTTCCTTTGATGCGTCACTTGCTTTCAATTACTTCAACTCCTTCAGGCACATTTAACCGATACGTCAACTCGACTCAGAACCTAAGACCAGAAACCCTCCAAATTCATCCAGTGCACATTGCCAGAAACTTCAGCTGTTTTCTCTCACTGATTGCATTCTGACTCACTGACTTCTTTCAGTGGTGAAATCATTTCAAGTACTATATCGGGAAATTTCAAGCAGAAAAGCTGAAAGTCATTCTTGATTATTATGGTAGCACTTTGATGCCCTTCTCATACGGCCAAAATCATAATGAGTGACCCGCCAATTGTCAAAGCAGGCCACCATTATGTTGCCTTTTGTTTTTTAAGGGGGTGGAACAGCTGTTTTCTATGAAATCTTTCCATGGGCATAGTCATAGCCTATAAACCAATGCTGAAGTACCAAAGTCTACTTTGACTATATATATATATTATATATATGTGTGTGTATATACACACACATATACGTATGTATATTATGCTCTCAAAGTTAAACTTAATATCAGCTCTATCTAGTAAGTTACTTATCTTCAGATTGTCAAGCAGAGAAACCCTAAAAGCTGCCATAGCAGTCAATTAATCTGTAGTGAATAGGGTCATGTTGGCAACTTACAATCTGTTTCTGATAATACAGCAATTAACCACTACAAATCATCAAAAATCAAACATCTGTCTTACAAGACAGATATGTGGTACAACATATCTGTCTTATCTTAATTTATTTAATATTTATGTTTGGTGTCCCTGTAATGGGATAATATTGCAATATTATGTATCAATACCCACCCCATACTTTCTATCCAGATGGAAACTGCCTCTTGGGAGAAACCAGTGTTGTGGAAGTTTTCCACAGCCCCCTATGCATATGGCACAAGGGATCAATGGCTATGACTTCAGTCACAGGTCCTCCATCCAGTGGAGTACACTGTAGAACAAAGTGGTAGACATCTCTGTTCTTTCCCATCATCAAAACACCAGATGAGGACTATCTCTAGGAAGAATGGTTCCATCCATCCAGCAGGGGTTTGTAAATACAAAGAGACCCCCCAAAAGACAGCTTTTACTGGTTTTTCCAGAAGCTAAACATCCACAGCAGGCCTGTGATTTGTTGTCAATACAATTTATATTTCAAGAATATTTTAAAGTGGTTCGTCTGTTATTCTCCAAATTGTTTTAATTGGATGATTCCTGTCTTCACCCTGAAGCGGCCAATTATACTGACAAAAAGGACTTGATGTCCTAACTGCGAAGTTACAAAAGAAGGGTACACTGGCTCCTCTGTGTTACTTTATTCAGATCAAGATACAGTAGTACAGCATCCCAATTTAGAAGAGAATTCAAAACAAAAATAAAAGCGCAGTCTTCGTGATACAGGACAATCAACAATCAAGGTTTATTCAACAACAAAATGAGGAAGGCGGGAGGGGAGAAGAGAGAAGGGAATGGCATAAGGAGTTCAGGGAAAGACAAAAGTTCCTTTTATCAGCACAGACGATACATTTATTCAATCCGCCCATAACCACCCCAGCTCCCACCCCGTAATAAAACATTATGCAGCCTTACGTACACATGCTCCCTGCTCCCCTTCCCACTTTCTTTCAAAGCATGCACTTGTTCTCCATTGTGTAGAGGTTTTTAAGCAACGATTAAAAGTGATGGCCCTTAACGTTTATTGAAAGGCTTTTAAACCTCCTGTTCAGTGGGGAGGGAGGGGGCACCCAAGCATGGATTTAAGGAAAAAATTGATCGGCTCTAGAGCGCATGGACTGCTGTGGTTGTGCACTAGCCCCCATAGCTGTAGTCAATTAAGTTGTACGATCCCATTACAGTCAAGACTAATAGTGTCGCTTCCAGAAAACAATGCTGTCTTTTTACACAACATGGCAGACGAAACCGGTTTACTGGCATATTAAAAGAAAACACAGCTGCTTTCTAAAGTCATTGGCACAAAGATTAAGAGTAATGCCGACAATATACTACAGAATATTACGTCCCATCCTTCCTACCAAAAATTACTAATCTGGATGTGGGACAGTTATGAGCAACAATTTACAACTGATCTGGCCCCTCTCCATTACTGACCAACTCAGAGCACAGCAGTCTGGTGGATGAGGAATTACACAGGACATCATTTCTTTAAAACCTTGTAGATTCTAATTCTGTGAAGGATTTCAGAGGAGAGGGGTTTGATTTGGTGACAAAAACAAGAAACATATTTCATAACACCTTGAAAGACCTTTCAATTTCTACTTCTCTGTAGAGCTGCATCTATGGGAAAAGGGGGCTGTTTCAAGACGAAGCTCAGGGAAAAAAATTAACAGCTTGTTGCACCATCTGCTGCTAAAAGTTTTCATCTAACACTGGGAGAAAAAGTGCTGCAGCACAAAGAGTTAGCACAGTCCTAGGTAGCTAACAGAGACGTGGTGCGGTGTGACGACTGCAGCTCAAGTACAACAGCGGCCAAGGGCGTAAAAAGGGAGGAATGTGAGGGGGGTACTGGTTAGCAATGACTAGCGAGTACAGTAGCACATGCATGCACCACTTATTTCAGTTTCATCAACACTTTGCCTTTGTAGAAGCACCCATTTACAGCAAAGCGAAAGGTTAACAAATAAGCCTATGTGCTATGCCTGGACATGGACACCCATTGGACAGTAAAAAAAAAAGAAGAAGAAAAAAAACAGGAATAAACATAGGGAAAAAGAAACAAAAAATAAAACTGTTGACAGCTTTCTCTATACATTAACCAGTTGATCCTGAACATCAATAAATATCTTGTAAAAGTGTTGCCTTGACTCAGGTGGGTATCTGGTTAACCCGTGTCGGGCTGGCCGGTTATGCTAGCGCCAGAACTGTGTACGAAAGAGAAGATAATTGCAATTTTAGTCATTTTTAAATATATTTCAAATATAACTCAATCTGTTAAATGGTTTTAATACCCAGTGATAGGAAATGATAGGAAAGCTTACCACTAATGGCCTCCTGGGCAAAGTATTTAACATCCATGTCTGTGTCTGAAGCCAGCTTCTCCAGCACTGGCTTCACTTCTGTTTGAAGGGCACTGCAAGGGACAAAGTGAGGACGACATTTATTAGACTCAAAGCTCGTTCTGGATTTCAGACTTTAGTCAGTTTTCCCCCTCCACTGTGCAGAGAAAGCACCGAGTGCTCAAATTCCAGACAACATACTTGCTGTCGAGGATAGGGCCAATCTTCTGAAGGGATTTCGCCACATTGAAGCGGACGTTGGCCACTTGGTCATTGGACATCTTGAGGACCACAGGCAGCATCTGCTTAGTGGTGATCTCCTGGCCACATGCCTTTGACAAAGCCTGAGACAGAATGCAGGAGTTACCAAGATGACAAAATCTACATGTAAGTGATTTATTTTTTAAGAAGCTCATACACTTCTTTCCTAATAGTGACTGCTGCCTTCGTTTACCTCAAGTGAAGAAGGTAGGTGATCCAGATAAGTATACTTGGGTCATATTTTAGTACAGAGCTTAGCTTGCCCTGTTAAAGTTACTGCATTTATATTAATAAAACAAACCCTTAATTCCTAAACTAGGCTTTTCCCATGTGCAGTGCAATAAAGTGGATCTGCATTATTGAATCTAGCTTCAATACTGTGAGTCTGAAACCTTTAAGGCATAACAGGTATTAAAAGAGTGCCAAAGAAAAGTTATGTTGAGGCGCTTTGTAACAGAAGGCAAAGCTGCCACAACAAAACAGAAACCTCACGGTCTAACGATCCACTACGAGAAAGCACTTGGCGACAGCTGGTAGTATAAGAAAAACAACTAATCTCTGCTTTTTATTAGAGAGACTAGAGTCATTTTAGATGGATCAGTACAGAAAATAAGCCCCTCAAACATGTGCATTTAAGCATATAGAATAAAGATCTGTCGACTCACATTGATGCAGAACAGAGTGGTCATCCTGTGGAGGTAATTGGGATCGTTGGCCATACCCAGCACTTTGGGCACGATGGTGTTCTGGGCCCACTCTGCTCCAAACTTCTCCACGAGCTTCATTAGGTTACAGGTCGCTGCCTCACGGATGGCATACACTAGAAAAAACACACAACAGCATTCTGTGTGAAAGGTCTGCGTGTGTCATGTCTCCCTTTCCAGGTCTCTGTGAATGAGCTTGATGGGCTCTTTCCAAATCTGCTTTGCTTGCTAAAATCCTCCAAGATTACACTCTTCATTTTGCTTGCTGTTTGCAATCCACAATTTTAAAATCTTGCTTGTCATTATAGTAATTTTGCTCCTCATATCTATTTTGTTTGCATGTCCTGAAATAAGACAAACTCTTATTTTTTATTTATTTATTTTATTTATTTATTTTTTATTACAAACAAGTGTCTAAAGGCCTTTACACAGCAGATATATAAAATCCATGCTTTAAAAAACACTTTTCTGAGTCAGCTATTCTTAATGCAGCAGTTTATAGTTTGCAGCATTAATTTTTTCGAATGAAGCTCGAAAAAACTCTTGGAGCAAAGCATGACATTCTGTCTGCTGCCTCTTTCTTGTGACAACTGGATGAACCCAGAATCTCAGTTTCTTCCATTTCCTGTTTAGAAACATCAGGACCAGCTCATCACTGCTTGATGTCAACTTAATTTTTGCCCACAGCGCATTTCTGGAGGACAAGTTTTCTGCAAAAACACACATGTGAGGTGTGTAATGGCCTCAACACTTTGCTAACATACTGCTTGTTTTACACCTCTTTAATAGACAGAGCGGCTGTGCTGGGATCACAGTGTGGCCCTGTGCTTACACAGGACACATTCAGGTTCAACAATGAGTGTGGGTCAACACACGCTTCAGGTTATATATAAACATCCATGTAGTGTGACAAAATATGCCATACACACAGTTGTACTGATTTCAGTGGGAGTGAGTGCGTCTATTGGTGTGTGAGATGGCCGACTTAAAAAGGTGACTGAAATTCTCTCTGGGCACTGGTATAAACTGCAGAGCCCCGAGGCAAACAAGACTCATCATACTGAACCAATTTGGTCAAGGGAACAGCAAGAGCAGTTTGCTTGCGAACATCTTCGAGCTGGACAATAAAAATCCGGGCGATAATTGCACGCACACACAAGCCAGAAAAACACGCCCTCAAAACACATTATTATGTGATGACTAACTTACTATAATTGTATCAATTCTGTTTTGGTTATATCTCATCTGGACAGTCATCCTTTTTAAGGCCAGAGGGTTACTCAGCCAACACATACAGATCATTGTCTTCTTTGTGACAACTTAGATCTTTGTTACTGAAGGAGCCTTCTTTTGATTTATCCATCTCATTACATATTTTAAGTGTGTAGCCAGGAAATGTAAATACAGCTGCCAATCTTGTTATAAATACACCCAAGAGCATTTCTGCAGTTGCATTGTTGGGCAAAGGTTATCCTACACTGGTTGTGAAGAGACTTCATGTCTCACAACATCCATGAAGATTTGTTTACATGCGGGTCCATCAGTGAAGTCTGACATATGTTTTAAAGTTACTGTAATGAAAGTACAAAATGTCCCATCTATTGTTTTACCCCATTGTTAGGATATATGCAGTATCTACATCCATTCAACAAAAATTACAGATTTTATTTATCAGCATTATTTGCTGTAGCAATTATGACGCTACAGCTTTCACCTCAAATAGAATTTAGAGCAATAAAGCGACAAATAGAAGAACTCACTGTTAGAAATTAGACTAATGGTATTTGTATGCTGTGTGACAAAAAAAGAAGAGGAAAATACACAAATAATTTTCTCTGTAATTAAGCCAGTGAGGGAAAGATTCTGGGCTGATTCCTGTGCTCCCGTCTTTCTCTGAAGGGCTTACGTAAGTGTGGCACAGCCCTAACCCCAGCCACACACACACACACACACACACAC